TGAGCTAAATGTAACCTCATTATTGCATTTTATAGATACGTGTACTAAATAAAATGATAGTTAATCACAGAGGAATAAAAGTGACAAAAAAATGTTCTTTCAGTCAGCGTTTCACACCAATGGAGTCAGCTTGTGTGTTTGAACTTGGATTATGTTCTTTTATGGATAGCACTCATTACAACCTTTTTGCATGCGCATGTATATTGTGTTCATGACAACAAAATTTCTTTCATTTGTGTAATATTAAGTTTGTGGTGATGTTGTAGCTATCTTTTTGCAGGTTAAAGTTCTGCGACTCTTGAGAATGCTCGGTAAAGACGAGGAATCAGTTAGTGAGCAGATGAATGATGTCTTGGCTCAGGTTAGTAAGTAATTCCATAAGTGATCAAAGTATAATTTCTCCTTACTAGATCAATGTATTGATGAGAGGTCTACAGACGAGAATATAGAATGTCATCAACTGTGCAGTGTTGTCTTGATGTATCTTCAAATTATCAAAACTTCATGTAACATTGAAAGATATGTACAGTGTATATCAAATTTTATGGAGTTAACAACAGCGACAACTGGTCTGATCTTTGCGGTCAGTGGCATTTTGATGTGCACATCCACAGGGATTCAGCTGGCTGCCAGTAATTGAAGTTCCTAGATGTCTTCTGCACCCAACCTCCATTTTTCAAGGCAGTTTTTACTAAGTGAAGTGAACAATAGTACAGTGTACAGCTCTCGTGTATCTGAAGAAAGAATGCGATATATTAATTATTCCATCATTTGTCTGTAGACTTGTACCTCTAACCTTGTACATGTATGCACTAGTACTAACATCTACATTCACTTTGTTGATGTTCTTGGTCTATTTTTTGTACATTGACAGGTTGCAACAAACACAGAAACTAGTAAAAATGTTGGAAATGCCATCCTGTATGAGACAGTTCTAACCATAATGGATACAAAATCTGAGAGTGGCCTCAGGGTATGTCTATTGTTTGAGTTACATTAGGGTTTCACTCTTTCAGATTTGCCACTCCAGTGAAAACGGCCTTCAAGGTTGTAGCCCGGGTTTCTGGCTCTTTGACCCTCAGAAAATCATAATTTTCATCTGTCATCCAGAGGTCGTGGGTTCAAGTCCCGCTCTGACCACTCAGCTGGAGTGTTTCTTGGTAGACCCCAGTTCAACTCCTCAGTCACGTTTGTGAATAGCCAACTGGTCTGCCTCCCGCCAGTTGGGATTTTTAAGCCTGTTATGTTTATTTGCAATATTTGTTTCTTTCAGTTCAAGTGGCATGACTGAAAATTAGCTAGTTGTAGCTAATTGCATCAACCACTATGAACATTCAACAAAAATTGAACTGTCCCAGAAATTTTACTACCAAAAGCTAGTGCATACATGTAGTCTGTCCAAAGCTCTGTCTTTGAGGAAATCATTAGTTAAACTGTGTATAAATCTGTTGTATATATGTGACATGGTTTAATGTATATTTAACTTTCCTTACCTTAAGTTTCTTTCCACTTTTAGGTTTTAGCAATCAATATTTTAGGACGCTTTCTTTTAAACAATGACAAAAATATAAGGTGAGATAAATATATATATATATTTTTTTTTTTCTTACAATGCTTGTAAATCCAAGAATGATGACAGAAAATGATAGTATACAAGCATGTACAATCAACAAGGTCTCTCTGCCCCTGCTGGTCAGACTTAACAAGCCAGAGGAATCCTGTTTATAAATGTAGTTAAGGTCTAGACCATGGGGTTCTGACCAGTCAATCTTTCTGCAGATACATGTAGGTTTGGCCTCGTATCCTTTAAATTATGCTCGGCTGTCCATCTAAGAGTAACATTAGGGATCTTTTAATAGAGGTTTCTGTACAGAGCATGTGATCAATCAAGTGCCATCTCCTGATAGGTCATGCCACAAACAAGGAAGAAATTACCTTTTTTGTTGTCGTAACTGAGATTTAAATCCCATAAATGGAACACTGACACCGACAATTGCTATGCCTTGTTAGTTACATTTGTAAATTATGTTTCCATTAGCTATTGTGAAGTAAGAGTTTGTTTTTAAAAAAAAGCTGATGTTGTGTTGGCTTTGTGCTTGCTATTCTGTGTTATAGATATGTTGCTCTGAACACACTTTTAAAGACGGTGCATGCAGACTACAATGCTGTTCAGAGACATCGTACTACAATTCTAGACTGCCTGAAGGATCCTGATATCTCTATCAGAAGGTACTTGCAGCCCTTGCTAACCTTCCATGTTCCTGTCCCTGCCATCCATGATAAAAGCACTCCCCTCTCCCCAAGCATTTTATAGCTAGAAGATTAGGTGAACCTTGGTCAGACGTTATAGGAAACTGTTGAGAATGGCCACAAAATTTGTGATATTTTAATAGGTTTTTCCCCTGACGTTTCCTTTCTTTCATTTTCTGGCTATAATCCAGCCTTTTCATTTCCCTTTTTAACCCTGACATTTTTCTAGAATTGTGTTGCAAATTTGTGTACACTGTGCCCCTAGTCTTGTATTGCACTGACAGTCAGATAGAATAAGGGATTATGTAGGGGAATATTTCCAAGATGTTCAAAAATACAAACAATTTTGCAGTGAATTATCTCAAAAACTTTTGTTGCCTTTTGTTGCCTTTTGTTGGTCAGTAAGATTTTAGCCATTTTTCTTGAACACAATCTTCACAGCAGAAAAATAATATAGTCAGTTATCATTAACATATTTTGAAAATGGAATGCCTTTTTGCATGTTTCATTATCACGAGCTGACATGCTCACCTTTAAACCCAATGAGCACACAGTTACATAGCCTTCTGGCATTACATCACATTGTCCTTTTATTTTCAGGCGAGCTATGGAGTTGTCCTTTGCTCTGGTAAACTCTAGTAACATTCGTGGCATGATGAAGGAACTACTGACCTTCCTGGTCAAGGCTGATTTGGAGTTCAAGTCCTACGTCACCTCAGAAATTTTCTTAGCAGCTGAAAAGTAAGAACTTCTTCCTGCATCAAAGAGAAAGCCTCTTTTTCATTGCACAAATACTTAGCTCATGATTTATATAGAGGATATTGTGTGGTGGCAAGAAGATTATGAATTTTATGTTCGAGTGGCAAGAACAATACCACGTTTGCTATGCTCACTAGTGGGATAGTGTTTTTGCCACAAGAACATAAAATTCATATCTATGAGCTAACATGAAGATTTCCGAAGATTCTCCAAAACTTGTGCGAAGGTCACACGAATATTGCCGTACATTTTCCAAAAATTTCTGAAGACTACCGAAGATTGCCGAAGACTTTCAAGGAAGACCCGAAGATGTTTCGATCATACACCAATGAATTCAAGCACAATTTAAGAGACAAACTTGATATCAGTGAAATCATCGATATCTTCACTAGTGGGGATATGGAAAATATGCCACCCGAGTCCCGGATGTGGTTTTGTATGAATTTTACCACTGGTGTATTTTCCAGTAAAACACTTGTGTCTATATAATAATTACTGTTATTTTGCATTGTGTTTCTAGGTATTCTCCAAACAAGAGATGGCACATTGACACCATGATGAAAGTTCTTACTACAGTGAGTGCAATAACCTTATCTCCAAACCTCCATCATAATTTGGAAGTTACACAAGGGAAAATAAAATGAAAAGAGTTCTCAGGAATGTTCATTTACAAAATGTTGTTACAGAGACTAATTGCATTAGCCATTGCTGAACTATCTAAAAACTTTAAATGACTCAGCTGAGTGTTTGAGGTGTTAAATAGGGACAACAAAAGTCATTAAGTTTAGTCTGTGAAAACTAGGTGTTATCCTTGAGAAGTCCTTGAATTTTGTCTGTGAAGTTGTATGAATTGTGATAGTGACATTGACCATTGTGTGTAAATGTGCCCAATGATTAATGATTTTGAAACACTACTACATTTTCTGACAAAAGGAATGATCGTTACATTCTGCAATATGAGGGCTCCTACCAATGGTTAGTTCAGTTACTACATGTTTTAGTGAACTCAGAGTAATCAAACAAGTTTTAAAGATGGCTCCTGTACTGAACACCAGTTCAATTTGAAATTACATATGTAAAAGCATGGTAATCTCTGAGGTCCAGTTCATATTATGTACATGTATGAATCAAATCAGTAGCAAATTTAAAGTTAGGAAGTACTTGAGAAACTCTTTCTTTCTTTCTTTTTGCACTTCAACTACATGTATGCAACAAATATTCAAGCATAGAACCAACTAAAAAAAAACAATAACAACAACAACTTTGCCATTGTTGTTTTATAATCCTACATTCCGAGAAGTTGTCTTCTTCCTGTGTTTCAAAATGACCAGTTGTGGTGGCAAGTAACATAAACCTGTTGGTCATACAGTGTAGGTTCTTTTTGGTCTCTGTTTCGTTAATTTCTTTCATCTTGTCCTAGGCTGGAAATTTTGTTCGTGATGATGCGGTACCAAGCCTGATCCATCTAGTGTCAACATCCAGTGAGCTGCAAGCTTATGCTGTCCAACGGCTGTTTAAGGCCATGCAAAACGACATAAGCCAGGTACTTTCTTGAAAACGATGTTATCAACAAGTTTATTTATGTGATGGATGCACAGCTGAAAGCATGAACTTATAAAACCTTTTTTGTTGTTATAATGTAGCTACAGGGACTGGGAACGTTTTGACTAAATTTCTGTTAGCAAGAATTTTTTGCATTTGTGCTTGATGATTCTGCTGGAAAATCCCTGTTGCGGTTCAATTTTACCTGTGGTTCAGTTTGATATTTTCCTTTGTTTCATGTACATTATTAATTCAACATTGTATCTTGCCATACACTGGTCAGAACAATGGAGATATCGAATTGTACCAAAGGTAAAATTGAACCAAAACATTCACACTAGATCTTGAGATCATATAATTAATAAATAATTTTACATAGGTTTTTAATAGATTTTTAATTATTATACATGTCTATTTAAGAGGGCAGCAAGTTTATTAGTTGTGAAACTTTTAGGTGTTACCCTCTATAAATAAAGATTGATTGAGTGAGTGAGTGAGTGATTGATTGATTGATTGATTGATTGATTGATTGAAGGAGTTTTCTAGCCGAGGGTAAAGGGAAAAAAATTGCTATTACTCACTGCATTTGTGTGCCTCATTTTGTGTAGCACTGGCATCCATTCATCACTTAAGGTCATTCCCCTGAAAAAGAACGCACAATAGATTTGCATTCAAATTTTGCCTGTTGGTCTCTTACATCAAGAGAACTTAAATATTGAAATAAAAAAGAGGGGGTCCCCATACTCGTTTAGGAGCAGGAAGACCCTCAGTAAAACACATAATTCCTTACATTATATGCTTTTAGAAACGTCTAAATCTAAACCACTCACTTTACGCTTTGTGAGAGCAGAAAAATTGGGAGAAAGTTAAGCAAGAAATACAACAATGGATGTACTGCATCAATGTTAAGGAGTAATTTGATGTACGTTTTATGATAAAGGCACCCATATTTAGTCGACAGGGATTCAATATGTTCCAAGCATGCAGTGTTCTTGAGGGCACATCTTATCGTTTATGAGTGCTTGGTATGCTCTCATTTTCAGTGATAATTTGTTACTCTGCAATAGAAATTGGTCTATATTCACTGTATGGAAAGGTGATAGCTGTTTTCAAACTAAGTAAAAAAATCGTTAGGTCCCCGTACTCGTTTCTGAGAAAAAACGATCATTTGTCTCTCGCAATCCAAACCATTTAGAAAAAGCCACCATTTTGTATGTGCATGCGCTTGCGAGCACACGCTAATGACTCGAAAATCATGCGCAGTAGGGATGCACAATGCAATTCTGAGGAAAAACCTTAACTGATTTGGATTGCTTGGAGTAAATCTAACGCTTCCATTATAGAATAGTGAGAGCTAATATCTTTCAGCATTTAAATTGAAGGTTTCAGTGTTGTATGTGTTTGACTTCCTTTCAGCAACCAATGGTCCAGGTAGGTTCCTGGTGCTGTGGAGAGTATGGCGATCAGTTATTTGTCGAAAATGAAGAGGATGAATCTCTCAATGTAAGTTGAAATTGCAGGTGACGTGTATGATTAAAAATGAAAGCTTTTGCAAGGATGTCTAAAGGTTGCTGATCTTACAATCTTTTCTAAGGAATTGGAAGAATAGAGTAGCAGGGTACCCAGCTGAGTTCACAAAGTTGATTGTGATTTTTGTCGCGAGCATTTGACAACCCTGAGAGTGTTTGTAATAAAGAAAGTACAAAGAAGCAGGACAAAGTTAAGGATGACACGACTGCAGGGGTTTATTAACATTTTCAGCAGGGGAGCAACTGGTTTTCACAGACAGGCAAAATATTTTGAACTGAACTTTTTTATAATAAAAATTTTCCTCTTCTTGGTCAAACCAGCTGGGCAAAATCATTCTCACACCTGGTCAATTTGCCCGGTGCACGGCCCATAATGTAACCCCTGAACTGATGGAAGCTATTTACATTGGCAGGCTTTATGTTAACGGTGTCACCTTGTTAAACTATATGCAGTTTTCACATGTTAATGTAATGTTTCAATTTGCCAATGTTATTTCTAGCTCACTGAGAATGATGTCCTTGATGTACTCGAGAGCGTGCTCTACAGCTCACATTCTACGCCTGCCACAAAGAATTATGCATTGAATGCTGTCATGAAACTTAGTACACGCTTTACTGCTACTATGGAGTAAGTACCTGATGACTTACGACGTGTTGACAGGTTTTCTGTACATTGTTTTGGTGAGCATAGAATGAACTTTCAAATGTGTAGAATTAGCGTTTCTACAGGATTAAAAAAACGCTAAATGTCTTACACTGGTTTTTATGAAGAACTCTCATTCTTTAGTCACAAATCTGATGCACGAAAAATGTCCAGAGATCGATGTTCAAGGGGTCCTCTACTGTCAGGGCTGTCAGTAGGTTTCGAGTCACCTTGATCTTCACACTCGTAACAAACTTGTTTTCTTTTGAGTGAATTGTATCAACAACAGGCAAGTTCACCCATAACATCAAGGGCCCATCAAACATACTCAGTTGCATCAGCTGTTGAGGGTTATCAATCAATTAAGATGATATCTGCAGAACAATCGAGCAATAATGGCAAAAATAAAGTTACCAAAAAAACCTCATAGCATGGTAATATTTTTGAATAAAGGTGAGAAGATCTTATCGAGAGGTAAGTTTTCAAGCTGACCCCGCGAGAGAAATTGAACTTGAAGTTATCCATATTTCAATTAAAACGGATATTTCGCGTCTGTTGAAAACACAATAACACACGCATTAAGCATTCTTACGAAGTTTGACTTTAAATCTCTCGAGAATGCTTGGGGATTTAATCGTGGGGTCACCTAGAGAAATGAATTACAGTGAGATGTTTTGAATAGTATTCAAAAAGTTACTGTGCTGTGAGTAGATTTTTAGTAAATAATTTTTGTACTTATTGCGGGAACTTTGGATGGAATCCGTCTCAATCTTTCTTTGCACTCACTCTTGCACAAAATAAGAAATTACGACAATGAAAATATTAAAAGTGAAAATTAGAGTACTAGCTGCTTGGAATAACCATAGGGGCTAGCAGAGCCAGGCAGCCAGTTAACATCAGCATTAACTAGAAATAAAATACAGGTCAGCAAGAAAACTGAAGCACAAATGCACACTAAAGAAGAAAAGAAGAGGAAAAACGCTATTTCTACGCTATGAAGGAAGTCTAAAATGCAATATTAGGAGTTTACAAATCAAAGTCTTACTCAAAGCAACAAGGAATATGGCCCTTATTGACAACCCTGATTGTGATGAAAAATTTGTCTACCTCAACATCTTTACTGGCAACTGACTGACTGACAGACAGACAGACAGACAGACAGACAGACAGAAAGACAGAAAGACAGAAAGACAGACAGACCACCCATTCCATGGATCTAGAGTCTGTTCCACTACTTTGGATATCATGGTTACCGAAAAGGAAATGTATGCTAAAAGTACATGAAGTTGAGAGTCAGTTGACGATATGGTTTACTGAAAGAGGCTCACAGATCACAGTAGAGCAGAAGTAGGGGATTAAGTTATTTTCATGATCACTGTGTTTTGGTGTTATTTTCAGGCGGATTAAGAATGTTATCAACCAATTTGAAGTGAATATGGATGTTGAACTGCAGCAAAGAGGTGTGGAGTTTGGTTCTCTCTTCAATAAACATGACAGTATGAGGTGAGTATGCTTTATATGAAGATGTAATGGCTGGTGCACCACACCCCAGATGCAGATGTTTGGGTTGTTTATATGCATGGTCTGCTCAGGGTTCGTTACTCTTACAGTGCTTCTCCCCAACCTAGGAGTTTAAATAGGTCCCAGGTAGCTGTGGAGTGCTTGTAGTGACTTCGTGCTTCAGAAACCGGAGTTGAGGGGTGTGGTAATGAGCCATCACGATCATCTGATACCTGAGCCCTACAGATTGGTCCCAATCCTAGGGTTGGAACAAACCATCTGCAATAAAAGGTCATCCTTGGGACTAAGTCTACTGGTCTGCTTGCTTGAATGTGTAATGCTCAGCGTGACACTGAGTGACAGGGTCATACACTCAACAAACACACTTCTGAATGTACCAAGGTGATGTCAGGAAGTGGCCATTTGAAAAAGACAACTCCTCACTCCGGAAATTATCAAAATTTTCATTGAATTTTCATTGAATTTTCATTGTATATGTAAAAAGATTCAGAGTCACCGCTTATACATGTAGCTGTGACTGTTCATTGTAATTTGTTGATTTTTAAACCTCAGATCTGCTCTGCTGGAGAAGATGCCTGTCATGGAATCTAAACTCTCTCCTGAGCCAGTCACAAATGGAGAAGTGCCATCACAACCAGAGGTGGAAACAAAACAAGGTACCATGTCTGCATGTTACATTTGTGTGTGTTTGTCTGGGGCGGATCGAAGGGGGTTTCGGTCGAACCCCTAAATTTTTTTAAAAAAAATTAGACATTATAACACGCTGTGTTGACTTCAGAATGCAGGATTCCAATTTTAAAAAATATTCAGGGGGAAGATGCTCCTGGACCCCCCTACAGGGGACTGGATTCAGCGGTCCGTATCTCGAACCCCCTTACACATATACGTACATACATAACTTTATTTTGACTCGAATTTCGAATCTCTAAAATCCTGTATTAACCCCAGTTTGTGTACATTAACTTTTTCTTTCCCAAACTCAGAATATTAATTATCTCTTTCTGTATTGCAGCTGTGGTGGAACAGAAACCTCCTAAACAAGGGGTAAGATTGCGAGAAAGTCAATTTGCAGTTTTATTTTTATTCACTTAGGGAATAGTATTATGTTTTCCTAGTGATTGTGCTATAAAAAAACATTATCCTGCTTTCCTGAATTCCCCTTCTCTTCCTCTTTCCTGCGCATTTGCTGATGTCCATGAAATCCTTTGGAATATAAATCGTCGTGTGCTTTCCCTGTGTTTGGAAAAAGTTCATCTGTTTTTGGGAATATTTTAAAAAGCTAAAAACGCGTAGATCACATGAAACTCATCGATAATGATTTTGAAGAAGAGTGCTTTACAAATGACAGGAATCGATTAGGAAGTGAAAATGACTTGCGATGGTTAACACGGAAACAGATAAGAACATGAAAAACAGAAAAACGATGCTCTTTTCGTTGTTTACAACATGGCCCCATGCGCCCAAGGACACGAAGAGAATTGAGCGAGTGTGAGTTGTTTGCAAGATGGAGCTCATTAAGGCTTTACTTGAAGGAACTTTACTTGTATTACCTCTGAATTGCACTCCCTTCATTCCCTACAACGTCCAGTCTGAAACCCTGTTGGATCTACTTGGAGGAGGCCCGACACCAGAACCCGCACCCGCCCCAGTCCAACCTCCGGCTCCAGCGGCCTCATCAGGCGGGGACCTCTTAGATTTATTAGGGGATCTGGACCTAGGCTCAACAAATGCAGGTCAGTTGTACCAAATTTCTCTTCTGTCCGCTATACCATCCCTTTATATTTTCTTTGCGCGATTTTAAGCAATTAGTAAAGGCTAAACTATTGACATCTTTATTCCTCACGTCCAGGTCCTCCTCCCATGAACATGATGGCGCCGTCACCAGCAGTTCCTAACTTGTTAGATGGTGGGGGACTGCTGAATCCAGCTCCATCTGGAATGCCGGCTCAGCTTCAGCTCAATCATGAACCGATCGCTCCTCAGAATCAAACTCCAAACTTCTCTTCTGGTTTGTATATTAACAAGTCTTATCACTTTTCTCACTTTCAAAATGTAAAGTTACTTGCGAATTTCTTCTCTGTAATTGAACGCTCCACTTTGGTTATTAACGCTCTCTCGTGGTATACCATAGACACTTGTATTTTCTCAGTATGCACACTCGCCTGAAGACTCGTGTTTACACCAAGAAAATACAAGTGACTCGTGGGATATTTCATGGTATACCACGAGAGAGCGTTGTATAACTATTTTATACCATGCCTTAGAAAATACAGTGGCCAACACAATCAATGCGACATACGCGCAGCGCATGATGGGAAGGTTGGGTGCAATACCGTCGAATATACAACGGCTTTCCTGTATTCTGATTGGCTGTGGCATGGTATAAATATTTAAATGCTTGATGTGATCTTACGCTTTCTTAAGCGTCGCTCGCCATATCAGATCTGAAATTTATCCTTGATCACGACATGACGAATAACTGTTGTGTTGATAACCGAGTTATATAATGTCGGACTCACTTGATCTCCTCTTTGTGTTGATAGGTTTTCCGTCCATAACAGCCTTCGAAAACAATGGTTTAAAGATAAACTTTGGGTTTGAAAAAGTTCCTGGTAATCCGTCTAACGTAGTGTCGATCATGATGACGGCTACAAACTCGCTCGCTCAACCCATGACTGACTTTGTGTTCCAAGCAGCAGTACCTAAGGTGTGCAGGCAGTTTTTCTCTTCGCTTCGTTTGAATGATAAGAACCTTACGTAAATCGTAATGGCAACAGCAACGTCGCCAAGCAAAAGATTTATGAGTAGAACAGTAACTTTGCAACTGTGTTGTGTTGTCTACTCCTAGCCACCCTTAATGAAACAACGACGCAGGGTTCGTACTTAAGTTAAAAGTCGGTGTATTCAATTCAAGGCCTTGAAAGTCCGTGAAAACCATATTGGGTCGTTGAAAAACCTTGAACTTTTTTGTGTGACGGTTTCCATGTAGAACCATAACTAAAAACGATTTAGACTTGAACAGATCCAGCAGGTATCCCTCAAACCTGAGCATCTCCTGTCACGTTCTAATGGTATGTTTTTAGTGTCCCGGAATGTCCTTGAAAGGTCCTTGAATTTTAGTCCAAGAAAGAGAACAAGAGAACGAACCCTGACGACGTGAAATGGCCAACATCTGCGTAGACGGAGAACGTAAATCATAACTGCGAATTTTTTGTCCGTAGTTTGAATTTGACAATTCGTCTACGTGTTCATACTGAATAAATTTACAGTTTAGGTAGTTACGAGATTCTTATTAAGTTAAATATAAATTCCTGTGACTTAGCCGGACGTTTTTGACAGTTTTACCGGTTAACACTGATTGAAATTGGGACACAACAAATCTTGTGTGTGGCACCCTGAAGGAAATAAGTGTAACTCATAAGTTGAAAAGCGTGTTTTAAAGTGCGACTCAAAAAAACCACTAAAGTCGAGGCGTCTTGTTTTATTGTCCTCGCAAGAAGGCTCAAAATATGTACTTAATAAACCTTGTGTCGTTGTTTTCTGTAATTTGCCCCTCGTTTGTTTTTATACACAGACATTTCAGTTACAGCTTCAAAGCCCGTCTGGTAATGTTGTACCACCCAACAATTCAGGCGCTATTAATCAAGAAGTCAAAGTAGCGAACCCTCAACAGGTAATCAATGCAGCTGTGCGTCAGTTAAATGTGATGGAAATCTAGCAGATGTAGTGTTCGCGCGTAACGCCAGTGTAAGTAATGCTCATATAACACAAGCACCAGGAATATTGACGTTGAATACACGCACAGGCTACTACTCATGAAGCCTCTTCCTGGCGTTCTGTTAGTTGGGGCACAGCGCGAAAAACGGGGAGCGAAAATAGGGGAGAAGCGCGGCGAGAAAAAGACTTCTCCCCTATTTTTTCGCTCGTCCTTTTTCGCGCTGCGCCCCAGCTAACTGAACGTCTGGAAGAGGCTACTAATCATGTGCGACACTGATCTCGTTCCATGAGGTCGTGATCGTTTTGGTCAGAAACGGGACCTCTGGGCAAAATCGGAAAATGAGCCACACAACAATTAGTCACGGCGGTTGCTCTCTGTACGCTTGTTCAGAAACCATGCACCCAATCAAACGGGAACCGGGATTTTCTGTTGCTGGTTTTTTATTTTTATACAGAGCGTTGGGTGTTCGGTTACCGCTGTCCGAAAACGCGAGGGCTCTGGGTCGAGATTTTGGTGTGATTTAGGCATGAACGTCATATTTACGCATGCTCATTTGAAGCCTTTTTTTTCTAAGATTGTTTAACCACTGGCACGCACTTGTATTTGCTCTTGCGCATACTTTCTAAGTTAGGCAGGTAGTTCGGTTCCCTTCCATTTGATTTTTGTTTTAATTTCTTTATATTTTTGTTCCTTCGCCTGTGTTAACTGTTTTCTATAACCATCCTGTCGTTAAGTGAAAACTACTGTTTTCCTTCCCTTTGACGCGGAACTCTGCTGAAAGGAAATCTATATTTGATTCTTGCCTTCAGCTGAATTGGCTTGTCAGACGCTACACTCGATGCTTATATCGTGTGTTGTATGTTGCGCTTAACAGCAGCCGGACTGATTTGGCTCGGTTTCATCGTTGTTATCTTTCCGAAACAAAAACGTGACATTCAAAACTTCGTTAATTCCTCCCCTTTTCATTCAAGTTGAGAACCTTGTTATTTAATTGTAGAACGCCCATCCTTGCGGTAGAGTGGTTTTGGAAAGAACATTTGTTTGAACACCTTTAAGATAAACACGCGTTAAGATTCTAGATTGTCCACTGAGCTATTTTCAGCTTCGCCAGCGGCACAACACGTGTGAAGCGCTCTTCTCAGCGTACAGGATGTAATATTCTACCGTGTCAGTTGAGTGGGTATATGCACGTGTTTTTGGAGCGCGTTGTCAACGTGTCTCAACGCGACAGACGCGCTCGGTCGAACATATTGTTTTTTCACACGTGTAGAGATTTGCCCTTGGCAGGTAGGAGCGTCCTAGTTGTTTTACGACCGCTCTTCCGGAGTTAAATAATGTGCGCCCTTTGTTTCTACTGCGGTAGGTGTGCAGGTCTTTGTGTCTTGCGGTATCATGTCATCCTGTGGTTCTGTTGATGTCGACAGCACTATTCCTGTTTTCCGCTTGTTGCTCATTGTTTGCGGTTTGTTGCAAGTGTTGTGTTTCTCGCTGCGAACAATCAACTTCCTCGGTTGGACAATTAGACGCATTGTCTGAATATTATGTAAAACAGTAATCAATTGTTGTTTAATATAGCCACGCCGGGCGCACTTGATGCTGGTTAACCGAGTTTTAATAATAAAATTGCATTAATTTTACATTCGCGTACCCGGCTGTATTGGGCGCGCTTCTTCTGTTCATATACCCGGCCATATTGTCTCTTTCTTGCCGCAGCTTCTTGGCTGTTTTTTTAGCTGCAACAGATGAAGTGAAGTAAACACCAGTGGGTGTTAATGAGTCGTTCAGCCCCGAAGTAGTTCGAAACAATAGAACAAAAGTAATTTGCTATCAAAGAGAAATATTAATCTTGAAGTGTATGCCAAGTGCCAAGATGTTGTTTAAACACGAGGCCTACATCGATTTTGTTTCATTAAACCATGTGATAACCAGACGAAAACTCTTGTGACGGCAAGCAAGACATGCGACAAGTATCCGCCTGTTTTGTCAGCGAACACGTGAATTGATCTGAAAGTGAAACTACTAGATCAAACTTCGAGTGACACTTGTGAGTAATGTTTTCCCGTGGATACAGAGAATTCTGTTTATTTTGTTCTTGACTTTCAAATGCAAGATCACCGTTAATAGAAATTTATCATTTTTATAGTAGAACCCCGCCCTAACCCCAGAATGTTAAAATCGCTTTTTTCTAGAAAAAAATCTCGGTCATGAACAATGCCTTCAATACACTCCCTTTTTATATAAGAATGTTGTTCTTCCGGCTGAGGCCGAATATTCTTATTTTTCTTCCGATTTTAGGCCTAAAATATCCTTGTGAATATTCTTAGATTACAGCGTATGACAATTCTGTTTTCGAATGTATTTGGTGTCTGGATGGTATTGAAGTAATTTTGGAGCCAGCCTGCAGGCATTAAAGCTTGATATGACGCACATAACTTCTTGCGGAAATGTTATTAGTATCGAACATACAGCTAGTACTGTTTTTGTTGCTTTTTGGCTAGTTTTGCCGTTTAGACAAAGGAGTACTATTATATGGTCTAGTTAAAAACATATTGAATTGTGTTTTAAATTTTCAACGCAATTATATTCTTTTCAAAATCTCAGCCTCGTGTTTATCCTTAAAATATTCTTAAAATTTCGTAAATTTTAGTCTTTTAGAATATACTCTTATTTAAAAAGAGTGTACCGTTGTAAGATAATAGTTTGACACTGACTATTTTTGGATGTTTGTTCAAGACGTTTCGGCTGGTGCTTGAGCCTTCATCAGTTAAAATATTGACGTTAGTACGCGTGATTCAAAACCATTATCTTACAATGTTAGCTCCTGACTATCACTTCTCCATATTTGTAACGCTGTATTTAGTTTGTAAATTGTGCGTTGTACTTACTATTTACAACACTGCACACGTGTCGCTTAACCCTTTACCAACGCGAAAATGTTTTGTTTGAGTCGCGGTGGGTCAATTGAATTATCAAAACGCAGCTCAAACGCAGTTTTGTAATAGTTTAGTTCCAAGACTGAAAAAAAAAAAAACTGAAATACTGTCCCCTTGTTTTCACAGCAACCATTACGTATGAGAATAAAAGTGATGTACAAGGTGAACGGAGCTCCCGTCAACGAACAAGGAGAGGTGAACAGCTTCCCCCCCGGACTCTGACGAGCAACCGTCCACCGCCAGACAGGATTATATGTAGAAATTATATTTTGTACGGTAAATGCTTATCGATGTGTATTCGGCAATCATAGGTCTGGCTGTCTGTAGATTTGTAGAGCTTACACTGTAAGGACTGTAGGGAGTCGACGGAGAAGCGCGGTAAGGAAGGCTTGCCATTGATAAATGACAGATGTTCAAATTCTCCCAACTAATACTGTAAAGAATGTATGGGGATTAGGAAAGGAGAATTTATGTGTTGACATCAGGACCTTAAAAACCAAGTACAGGTTGAAAGTAGCGTTGGTGATTGTCAAACGATATGATTTCATGGTACTTCACCATGTTGCAGTAAATGTCGACGGCGCTCGAGTCTAATCATGGAGACTGTTGTAGCGCTGTCTTGTTCCGTACCTCTACAGAAGTTAGCGTACCGGTTTATTCCTACTCCTTACACAAATCACTTTACCCGAGGGGTATGGGAAGTTTTCCATGTTCTGATGCGAACTTCCCCCACCCCTTGCAATTCAAACGCTTTCACAGCTATGTGAAATCATGTTACTGAGGAGGACTTCTTAGGAGGAAGCTGTCTGGTGGGGGTGGGGGGATAGGGGGAATTGAGCGGCTCCGTACGAAAAGTAGTTAGTCTACAGCCAGACCGTAATGGTTGCTGCTTATAATTAGATGACTAGCAGAGAGAAAGATAGAAAGAAAAAGCAAGTACACAACAAAGAAATCGGACAATTGTAATTTGAAAAGGAAAAAATAGTAATTCCAAAATGATGCTTGAATACTCATTAAATGTTTCCGACCACTACAAGGCACACGCGTTGTATTTTACGGTAATGTACAAGTTGTGTATTTGGCGCACTGGACAATTCATTCGGCTGAAAATGCGCATTCACTGGTTATTCATAGCCATTTATTCCGTCTCTAGAGTTGTGTGATAGATAGTAAAATGGCTTCCTGACGACCGTTTAAAACTGAATCCAAAAAAACATGTGCATATGCCGCTTGGTTTGGTCTTCGATTACTGTTCAGACGCAATCCCCATAGCAAGTGAATGCTTCCACAAGAGGCGGAAAATTCTGCGTGTGTCTTAAGTATAGACTAGGAAAACATAAATTAGGTGGGTAGAGCCGAGAAAGGTTTGTGTCCAGTGGTCATGAGATACAAATGTAAAATTGTAGCGCACACGCACAGGTTACTACTTACGTTGGAACTTGAAGATGACCATGTAGTCCACAAAGATCCAGCCGTTTGATTTCGTGTTACAATTTCGTGCGAAATGAAATTAGTGATAGCCACTGTTTTGTCTGAAGTTCATTTCAAGACGTTATAAAGCCAAGGTAAATCTTAAGATAGCGATTAATTCGCAGGCAAAATATGTCGGTTAGATTAACCGTCTTGCAGTGGAAGGACTGCGGGTGATTTTTTAAGTACAGGATAATTTTACCGCACAGGTTTCATGTTTTGGTTCTTGCCAGGCAAGTCCGAACCAGATTGTGAATTCTGTAAAAGTGTAGACACGGTGAATTGTAGCCTTTTTAACAAATTGACGTTGAATCTGTAAAACCTGATGTGAAAATAAAAAGTCAGTGTTTAAAAACATTAAAATTCAGTGTTTTCCGGAGATTGAGTTTAATATCACCTTTAAATTTATAGGAGGTCGGCGACAGATGCGGCTTAATGAAGCGTCAACTTCCCTCCATACCCAGCCATCTGGGATAAGAGAACTTTTCATACATTTCTTAAGGCAGCAAAAATCACAAAGTTGGCTCGGAAGGCATAGACCGAGGGAGGGTGGGGGGGGGAGGGTATGGGAGAGCCAACGTTTTTCCTTGTAAAACTTTGTTATTTTTGCCTCGTGTCCGAATGTGCAGAGAACCATCCGCAGGTACGTTCAGGAAGCTTGTCTCAAACACCCTCAAGCCTGCGCTAACACTGAAGAAATTCCGCGTTTGTAAATTGTTCCTTGAAAGTTTGCGACGCTTTGTTGGTGTCAATTCCTGGCTCGGTTAACAGTGACTCTCGCGTCAAAAGGATTTACACCTTTTCGCGTTTGACAACTGATAACTCTAATGGGAACGTCAACCTCTTCCAGGGACAGGCCAAAATACTTTTTTTACACCTGGATGGAGACAGGAATGATGAGAGGAACTCGCCTTGCCCAACGCAAACCCGGGCTATAGCAGGAAAGGGCCCAGGGAGAAAATAAAAGATCCAATGTACTGAGTATCTGCTCGCCCTCGCACCATTCAGTCTTCTCAGCGACATTTAAAAGCTTCCAGCGCCATATTAACTTTGGGTGTAAAAACTTTTGTTCCTTTGCAATTTGCAAGAGATATGTAGAGAAATGGAAACGAAACCTCTGCATCGATAGTATAAATAGATTTCCGCGGTAACTTTTAGCGTCAGGGAGGATCATCTGTGATGGACAAACATCCTTACTAGGAGGAAAAACAATGCTCCTAGCCTCCTCTTATTACAGAAACACCAACGGGTATAATCTAAAAAAAAAAATGCGTTTACTAGTGACATACATTAGATCAAACACGACAGGCCGTGTTTACAACATTTTCCAACAGCGAGAAGAGAGTTGAAGACAACGCGCAGCGGAGTATTGACGAACTTCGATGTGTTGGAAATGTGGTTAAACACACTCCGAGTGTTTGACATATTGACATAACTGAAACTAAGGAGAAAAGGGAGAAGTAACATCGTAAAAAATCTACGCTAACTAAGAACCATCCCAAGTATGATTTTGCTGAATTATGAACGACTTCGTTATGACAACGAGACCATGTACCAGTACATATTCTAAGAGTTTTATTGATTCGTAACACAAATTCTACAGAAAATTTTCGGTTGCAAATCGACTTATCCGGAAATTTCTAAACACCCTTTTCGGAAGTTATGGATAACCTTTAATGGGTACACTTTTTTCCCGTTTGGCACAGAATGCCGGAAATTTCCAAACCGCTTGCACGTTTCTGCTTCTTCCATCTTCTCTACCGCATAGTTTTTCAGTGTTGTACATGATGACTTCGAAAGAAATATTTTAGTATTACCCATTCGTCAGTTTCACCAATCCAACCAGTTTTTATTTTACGCAAAATGGTTTAAGCTCCTGTACAAGTACACTCCTGTGAATGAAAACACTTATTTTAACATTTTCTGGCTATCATTGGGGTCCACAGGGGTGTATGAACGTAGTGCCCCTCTCTCCCCTCCCCAGCGAACTCCTCAACGAGGTCGTTAAGGTACCGTTATACGATATATTGCAATAACAGGAAAATATTTTACATCTACATAATTATATTACCACTGATTGGGAGATACAGCGGTGGTTTGAACTAATGAACATGTTTCTAAATTAGCAGTAAAGCGATATTGATCATAAAACATAAATAGACTTCAATACACAGAAACGTGTACGAAGTTGAAGAGTTTCATCAAAGTAACAAATCACGTCAGTATTGCCCACTTCATTTCCTCTGCTATCATGCCGAGTTAAGTTTACTTTGACCAACATTTGACTACGAACCGCTGGATTTTGTGTCTTCGACAAGCTCAAAAAAGGTCTAACTATGCCCGAAAACACGAAGAAAGCATATCGATTAGTCTTTGTGCAACGAAATTTATCTGAACGACGAAATTTTCGTTCGCGTACCATTTATATGGGAACCGTGCCAAAAATGTTCTGTCGTGTAAATCGGCCTTGTAGTTATTGTAGGTTTGGACTGCTGTCTTTTATGGTGTTTACCTGTTTAGACTGCTTGCCCTCATGGACTACTCTCATAGAAAAATCGGGCTCGAACAACTTGAAATTGTTTAAAAAAAGAGGGGCTGGGAGAATGTGATATGCGCTGGGAACACTTGTCGAGTTCTCTTATACATTGACCAGTGTTCTTACAACTCGATAGAAATGCGGAAAGTGTTCCTTTATCTCAGTTAGATAAACAGATCAATGTAAATCTGTGTATTTGTCATTACCGGTGGTGTTTCCACAGGCGTGTGCGATATTGAAATGCAAATATTCAATACACGTTTATGTTCTCTTTTCCTGTAGCAACACAGGGTAAAATTCTGAAGTGCTCTAGTGACAGACAAGTATTTAGTGCACGGGTTGCAAACGGCTTTTTAAAATGATAAATACTTCCGATCCTGTGTTTCCTTGCCGATTCCTGCACCTACATCACTGAATTCTGTAGCTTGGACGCGGGTCAAAACTCGAGCGAAGGAGGTCGTTCAACAGAAACGTTGCCAACGTTATCGTGTCTATCAGTGGGAAGCGGAAATCATTTAAATGGCTTCGTAGGTTCCAGAACATCAAATCAAAGCAGCACACAACCACTGGACGCTTTGAGGACTAAGAAATTCTGATACCTCAGTGAGGCAGATAAAGAGGATGGTGGCGATACGATAGAATTAGCTGATCTAAGCTCCTAGTGTAGGGTAGGATTAGGTTCTCAAAGAGTTGCGATATGTTTTTTGTGCGGATGGAACAACAATGGCAATTTGTTCCCTGTCAGAGCGATGATTGAGATCACATTGTTTAATTTCTGACAAGACATTATCGAAGATTTTAAGCTGCATGTCTTTTGTTCTCACAAGATTTTTTTGTCAATTTGATCCCGTGATTTACTGAGCATGTGATTTTAATTCAGCAGAAAACGAGCTTGCTTCAATCACCTTGATCTACATCACAGAATTCTCTTAAAAGGCCAGCCCTGCTGACCAGCACACGAAGTAATAATTGAATTAATGAACAATCTGCCACAGGAAGCCAATAGCGGAAACGCTTCTCAAAAGATAGCCTTTAGACCGTAAAACCACTGGATGTCCCGGTCAGGAAAACACCTTTTTTGAAATTCATTCTGGTCACGTAGTACTGAAATTCAAACAGTGCTGTCAGCCCAACACTTTGTTTAGATTCGCGTCGCTTCTTGTTCATGCTCGTCGACCTTGAATACACTGTTTGCGTGTGTGTGACGCTGATCCGCAATTTCCCGACAGCTGACATGGTTGTGCTTGTCAGCTGTCATGTTTACAAAGGAAAGAACAAGTTCCAAATTAAGAGAGTGTTAAAATTAGCACGTTTAAGCTGTGGAAGCTGTTATCGCCTGGAATCAAGTGATAGTTATTGTCTGGCGAGGAGACCTTGCCTTTGGCCTCGGGCGAATAAATGAAATGATACAAACTGCAAGATAAGTGGGTTTTTTTTTCTTGGGTTATTGCCAGTTTTGTGCGAATGTCTTATGGTATTTGATCTTTCGATACTCTGCGCTAAAGACAGCTAAAATAGACAGATATCATTTAATATGGTGTTGATCCTTTTAACTAAAATACAGCAAGAATGTTACTCAGTTGTAACTTGTACTATTGTACATAACGTGCTGGTATCACTTAGCATTTGACGATGTTGTTCTGCACTGAAACGTTGCCAGATATGCCGCTCTCTCATGGTATACTTCAGTCGATTGAATGCTTTACATAACGTGCACAAATATTGGAAACACCGCGTGTAACGCCGTACAACAATGCCGAGGCAAGTCGCACGAAACCGATCTTGCCAAATGCCAAATGCAAGCAAACCAACCAGTACCACCCTCTGAGATCATGAGAATAGTTCCAACAACGAAACATTTGTACGAATTACTGTGTTAAGCCGTTTTTCGAAAAGCCAATAATCGAACCCGGATAGAAAGCGACCCTTAAACATTACAGAGACATTTGTGATGGAGATTGAAATGTATGGCTCTTGACTTTTTTTGTTCGGGAATAAGCAGGCTACAGGATTAATTAGCGAGAAGCTACCAACGAATGATTTGCTCACTGGTATGAGAAGATATGCTATTTAAGTTAGTATTTCGATAGTATTGCCGTAACTGCAGTAAAAAGCATGTAAATCGAAGTCGAAAGGAATTTAAAAAACAGAAAGCCAGTTCAAATATTACGAAGTGAGTACTGGAATCCGCTTCAGTTAAAACTACCGGACTCTGATGAAGGAAGAGGAATCTTCGGGAAATAAACTGTTCTTTTCTGTTGTTTTCTGGAAATTTGATCTGTCAATAACTTTCTGGAAATGTTTATACCAAAACGAAAAAAAAGTAAAATAAATAAACACTACGCCGAGTATTGCGCGCGCATTCCTGAGATTCTCTCCGCCTGTTCAATAAACTGACTTTAAAAATGCAATCATAAATTGAAATTCTATAATCTGAGAATTTTAAAGGTCAAATTCTATACAAATCTCGAGATAATCTGGACCTTAGCGTTGTTCAGTGTCCAGAGAATTTAAAAATACTCGGATTAAGTTTCTTTAAAGAGCTAGGCAGATGACGTTTTCAGATAAACTGCCCCCAGAACAAAATTCTGAACTTTAATCTTTCCGGCAAGACATCTCTGTCTGTAGCAACCGACAATGCCACAGAAATAAAACAGAAACGAGTTTAAAAAAAAACAAAAAATTCGATTATACAGCATTGAGAACACGTAGGAATCATTAAAAGGAAGGAAGTGTTAAGAAAATTGTGTTTCATATAAGATCTTGCAGACTCATTGGGTAAAAAACTTTTGCTAACTGCAATGCTGACCATTGCGGTTAAAATGGACGCTAAAATGTTAATAACGGCCTTTCATTCATTCATTATCTAGCTAACAATATAGCTCAATACAGCAGCAAAAACTTTCATGCTGCACTGAGGTTGTCAATCGATTTACCAGACGCAAAGAGTAACCAAAATTACCGAATTAGGGATGAAAGAAAATTATTGTACCCACGCAAAATAATCTCGGATACATTTTATTGCATTTTACGCTTATGAGTCTGAAGTTCAATTGCTGATATGGCCGGAACAGTTAATCCGACGGTTAATTTAACAGGGAGTGCCCGGAAAATCTTTTCAGGGCGTATTCAGTCATAACAATTTATTTCTATATCCATTCACCCTGAGCAGTTTTTTCAACGTGGGTCCCCAGTACTTTGAGAGCCGGATGTCAAATAGTTTTGTTTCTTCAATGTTTGTTTTTTTTCTGTTGACTTTTAAAGAAAAACTTTAGGATTTGTCTTTCCGCCAGTTTTCCAGTAAGTACGTGCATGTTTTGTATTTTTCCTTTTTTCACAGATTGTGTCTTGAGTGTTAGGATTTCCTATGCCAGAAACTGTTTCTCGAACGTTCTTTCCCATTTTTTTTTTTGTGAATGACTTGTTAATTTTAGCAACAAAGTTAAACAAGGACTTTTTAATTCTAGTGTTTATGGAAATTAGAAATCGAGCTCAATCTTCTCGCAGTCTTCAGTAGACACATGTTAACAGCTACTTGGTAACAGAGCCATGTTTGCTAAAAAATCATCTCAATTAATAACCGGATAAAAAAACCTCTCCGACAAACTAGCTCCAAACGACTTCATAATGACTAGCAATGAAATATAGCTATTATGGACTCTGTCTGGCTGCTGAAAAACACCGATGCAAAATATTTTGTTGCTTTGAATTTCCACTGACAACTCAGTGATTGTCTGAGAATTTTACCCGAGGTCAAGTCTTAAAATGTTTTACAAGCTCAAAACAGTGCTTAGAATTATTTATGGCCTTGATATCACACGAGACACGTCAGTGTAATCAATTTCCGAGCCTGTTAACTGAACTTTTCCAAAGAACAGAGTTGAGCCGAACTAGACGAAAGAAAGTTGCCAATACACTGCTTGAGGAATTGCCGGTATCGATAGATTTAGCTAGACAAATATCATTTTCTTAAATCTCATCACTTTCGAACATTGTTCTGATTGTGTCAGGAGAAATTATATACTGGTCACTCTTAAAAAAAGTCTGGATTAATGCTATCAAAGGGAAGGTATATTTAACACAGCTGATGTGTTTTTGCAGTATCAGCTGTAAGCGAAGCTCTGTTTGGTTTTTCTGTTATTCGGAGGTTTTCGATGACATTGGCCTTGGGTCTCTCTTTTTTTACCAAACAGTAATTTCGTTTAACATATAAATCGTCATTTTATCACCGGATTTTATCGCTTCTTTTCTGCGAGATTAGCTTTAAAACGTTAGATTAGCATTTAAATCCATTCCAAACTTCTTTGCCAGACGTTTTATTAAGCGTCCTGACATATTAATATTTTAAATGCTTCGTTTGATATCTTATAAAAGTGCTACCGGAAATTCGGCTTTCAACCTTCATGTTTTCGTTATCGGGCATCTTCTTTAAGGCAAGTTAAGGCTCTTCACTCTAGATAATGTGCACCATAGCTGCTTATCCATCGATTATTGGACCTGAGCTTTTAGTGTAAGCCGTATGAAGCAGGTTCAACATGTCGGATTTTCCTCGATAACCTTGTCTCCAAGATTTCCGGGAAGAGAGGGAATTTTCCTTAGTCGCACATGTATGCACGTTCCATTTTGAACTTCTATGAATAAAATCAGACTGGAAGTGCCAAGCTCTTTACTAAGTTATGGCGTGAAACAGAAACCCTTCCCGCCATGAAAAAAAAAAACCCCCCAATCTTCACCTTTTCCTTCCGAGGACAACAAACATCAACGTTTGTCATGTTTATTTTTGAGATAAGATTCAGTCTTCAAAAAGCACCGCTCTAGCTGCAGAGCGAGTCATGCTAGGCTTAATCTACTACACAAAGAAGAAAACATAAACAGACCAGGGGTTCTGGTCATAATACAAAACGGACCCCAGAGAAAGAAGAAAAGAGGAAAGGAAAACATTTCCAAGAGAGCGGACAAGGAAACTGGTGATTAGATCCCCGTGGGAGAAAAATGAGATTGTTAGGGGCTAATTCTTGTAATTTCGATCATAAAATATTATTCCAAAAGAGGTAATTATTTTCAAAACAAAAAATTTTCTTTCCACCATTAAACTCGGAGAAGAAACTTTGAAAGTTCAGGTTCTCTTGTCGCGTGTGTTTCGCGTGCCGTTGCGCTTGAGTGCGTCTCAAATCACTGACGTCACTGTACAATTTGAAAGGAGAGTTTAATTAACATTCAGGCACATTCAAAAGAGCTTCAAAGACCATGTACAGAACTCGAGTGGTTTTTAACTAACGCGAGGGCTGAGCGACAAACATGTTCGATGCTTCAGAAGGATCAATTGACATTTTCATCTGTGGGGGGTCACAACTGCAATTCTCACAACGGGAGAAGGCAGAATTCAGAACGCGTTTTTTGTTCCGTTTTGTGCTTTTCCGGTTTGAAATCGTTTGCCATGATAAAAACAGGGAAAATCAACAGCAAGGATGCTAATTTTATTAATAAAGACATGCCTACTGAGGATTCTGGGCAGATTAAAGGAGAGCATAATAAAAATGATTTCCGTGCGAATGGTGTTAGAAATGCAAACACTGTGTTATTATGGTTGGGAAAACGGACCTATTTAACATAAAAAGTAGACATCTTATAGACATTTTCACACCTACGAGATAAACACACAAAAGCCTTTTGAATTGAGTCAGCAGCGAGTTCACTGCCTTTCAGGAATATTCTACTTATTCTTAGACACGGAATTATGGCGTTTTGAAGCGTTTTAGATCGCACGAGAGACGCTGTTTTTAAATGACATAGCGTCCACGTGCTCAGTCGTGTCACAAAACCTCATTATCGTGTAGCGTATTGTTTGGAGAAATATAAACAACACGAATACAAGAGGCATGAACACGACGGGTATAGACTTAATTGTTTAAATCCAAGTGCTTAGGACGCTGTCATAACTCAAGTTTATTATTTGTCTTGGAGTGAAGGCCGGCTGATTTCCGCTCTCCCAGTGGATTTCAGATGGCGCGTTTCTCGGTTCGTTCGCTGATCAGAATAATTTGGTTTCCTTAAATAATCATTGCAACGACAAATTGGATGTAGTACAAGCTTCTCGAACAATTGCTGGTTAATTGTATGACCTGGACTTGTTAATTGTCATATAATCGATTGAATTACATCTAAATACATGTATATGCATGTATTCTCCGACCGACATCAATCAAGTTTCGAAACCGCACGAAGAAAATTCAATGAATTCGTCATGTCGACCCTTGGCGCTGTGTTGCCATACAGCTGTGGGGGTTTCCCGTGTACTCGGTTATCAGCCAACGTCTTCTTTGCTGCCAGAAAAGTGGAAGCGATAAAATAATACCTCGGCACAGCTGTGTTGGGAGATATTTATAGCTCAAGGCATGGCACGAATCCTTCTGCGAATATTGTTTTCCTCTGCGCAAATTGCATGATAAAAAATCCGCCCCATTTCTGTTGAACAAAAGAAACACAGAAATTACACGTCTGTTAAACATTGTGCGATGAGAGCTATGATGTTAATTTCGAGAGAAGTACGAAATTTAACATCTCGAGGAAAGTTTAGATAAACCGATACAAGCGATCGACCAACACGAAAAGCAAACGCGACCAGGGAAGGCTACACAATCGATGCACATGTTCAAACTCTTTGGCCTCGATTTGCGCTGTTCCAAAAGTAAACCAACAAAATAAACACAGTAGAGAAGCAATAAGCACATAGGTTGGCAAAGGCTACCGAAACAGCGCTCTCCTTTGAGATGTCATGTCGCGGTATTGACTAGCTTACAATCGCATTCATTATGCCGATAATAGCCAGAACAATCTAACTTCCTACGCCAGTGCAATCATTAGCTAGAAAGAGAGATCAGCAATCACTGTTTTGAGACACAACAGAATCGAGAGCACCCAGTAGGGCGGAGCTACGTGCCACAAAAACACCCACATGGGCGGGTTTTCCCTGTCACCCGTGTCGATTTCCATGTTGGCAAGAGACAATAATAAATGTTAGCCTAGTTAACAAGCCAAGTTCTGCCAATCATTTTCACGCGTTTTCAATACAAAGCTTGTTCGCTTTTTAATTCGATTGGTTCGACCAGCAAACGTTGTGTCACAAAGTGTCAAAATTGACGGAGCCCTTGTGGAAACTACAAGATGAAACGATTGAAGATATTGTTTTGTGCACACAGGACCTGATCGGTGCTCAAGATTGCCTCATGTGTATGTACAGTACAACAATACTAGCTGGCTAAGAAACTCGATCGACAGCGCTACACTTTAGTAGCCTTTTATTCACTCGGCCTGTCTCGGGCTAAGAAATAACACGGCAAACCTATTTTCCCTCTCCTTGTTAATTTATTTACGTCTCGAGTGCTTCGATTTCAATCTGTTTGCCGATCGATCTAGTCACTTGATGTTCCGTCTCAAACACTGATGGCAAATTCTACCGCTACAAAGATTTCCTGTCCTCAATTTGGCTGCACCTACTCCCCACAGGTAAGCTTTTCGTGTTGTCAGTAACTTGTTCGACCGCATTCGATGCGATGAACAATGTAAAACTTCATCTCCATGAAAACCAGACATGATTGTATACCGTCTCGCTGATTTCAGTTGATGATTCCTGGAGCTCATACTCCGTGTTGTGATTCAGTAAGATCGCCTTTACACGACGGCTTGTCTTCTCTGTGTCCTTGCCAGTTAGATCGAGTGCTTCAACACAGAGTTTCAACCATGCCCGTGAACTTGCTTCCAAGACCGACTTTCAACGAAGCTGGCTTTACAATAGGCTCCGCTACAGACCTGTCGGCTTTCTATTCGCCTCTGGTAAGCCAGACTTAACTGACTCTGATATTTTTTTTACAACCTCGTGTACAATAGTCTTTATATGTCTATCCTTCTTTTCTCCTTCACACATTCGCTCACTCGCTACTTGTTTCGCCAATGTAACTACAACTTAAAGTTTTTCCCCCCCTCCATTAAGTTAATTGAACCTAATAATCGCCTGCTCTGCTCTCGTCTTCACTCATGCTTGGGCGGACTCTCTTCGAACAGGCTCGAGCGTGTGACATCAAAGAATGGCGAGATTCATGGTATCTAGCTCAAGCCAGCGCCGCTCGACATCCGTTAGATGTGCACGGCTTCGATCCCCATACCCACACATCTTGTCCGGGCCTCGGCGAAAGGTAAATAAATTAACCGTCTTTGCCGTTAGTTACTAGACCACTTAAGTAAGCCATTAGAGTGCTTCATGCTTCTGCTGCTTCTTAATCCCATTCAGTGCATTTGGTCACATTTGAATGGCTTCGCGAAAATTCGCCCTCAGCCAGCGAAGTAGTTCAGCACGGCTAAAGCCGTTTGCAATTTTGTGGGTTGTTACTTGCGGAAGGGCTTTAATATGGAAAGTTCCTTTTACCAATCATTTCAATACTGATAGGGTTGAGAATAATCAAGTTTGTAAAGCAAACAACAATGATCGAGCGCACCCGACAAACTCACACTCATGACAACACTTCCAAAGGTTAAATTCCACTTCACGACCGACTAAAGTCCAGAATTGATTTTTATTTTTGTAGGTTTTCACCGATCGATTTGGCTGCAGCAGGAGCGAGACGGAAAAACGCGACGAGAGAGACAACAAGCACACTCAAAGCTTGGCTTTATGAACACAGAAAAAATCCTTACCCCACGAAGGGGGAAAAGATAATGCTGGCGATTATGACGAAGATGACATTGACGCAAGTTTCAACGTGGTTCGCGAACGCTAGGCGAAGACTTAAGAAGGAAAATAAGATGACTTGGTCGCCGAGGAATCGGTGTGGCGAGAAAAAAGATGGTGCTGAGGACGACGACCCTGTCAGCGATTCAGACGGCGAGCATAGCTGTAGTGAAGAAGACAAGATTTGTGATGACAAGGGCGAAAATATAACTAGTATTAAAGGTATTGCTTAGTAAACATAGTGTTTTAGTGATTTCTCGATTTCTAAATACATCAGTTGAAAACTGACAGGGATTATGTAAAGTTCCTTCATTGAAGTCATCTATTTTTAAGCGCGGGCTGGTATTGTCTGGTGTTCGACAGACATGCATCGCAACGAGAGAAAATAACTCGGCACAGAGTTAAACGTTCAGGAAAATGACGAATCGGAAATGTAATAAACATTTTAAGTACTAAGGGATACAGTCGTGCTGTGGTTAAATGTTTTTATCAAAACTGTTGTTTTTCTTGGGTGTTATCTTGTACAGTTTAGCGTTACTTATTGTCCTGAAACAACGAAAACAAGTTAAGATTATTTCCACGTTCGAGTAATGATTTGCACCCTGAAAATCAGGTGCCCAGTGAAACGAAGTGTGTGTTCGAATGGAATGATTCCAACGTACGAATGGGCCGGAAAAACTCCTACGTATCTTTTATTTGTTTAACAGAAACGAGAGACAAAGAGGAAAGGAAAGAAAACATCCAATTGAACGCGACCGACAACTCGGAACAGCCCAAGACTGTCCACAATTCAACCGGCGAGAATTTACAAAATAGAACGACAAATCCTGTGATTCGATTCCAAGCGCTGCGTGCTGTTCAGTGCGTAACTACTGGTGACTCAAACGTGGAAGATTCTCCCGTGAAGAGCTTAAGAAAATGGGTGGATGGGTGCTTTCACAACACCCCTGTAAATGTCGTAAATACCAGCCCTGCTTCATGCGAGACCCCGCCATCGACACCCCCACAGAAGGCCTCTACTGAAGCCTCCGTCATTATATCAGGTAAGGATGGACCCAGGAAAAAAGGTGCTGAGAGGTTCTCATGTCATTATTCAGGTAGCTCCGAGAGTATTCATTTTAGCGTTCAAGGACAGTGCTGCAATAACAGGCTAAGCCGGGGCTCTTTTGACTTTTTTAAAATGACTACTCAGTTTCTCACAGCCGTCTGAAGTGCCCAAGAATTGCGAAATAGTAAGCTAATTTTTCTCATCAATGGTGGATGCTCTAGGATACGCAAGTTAGTAGACTTGCAAACTCTAATAATATCGTTTGCTTCGATCTAAAGGTGTACAGTAATTTTTTTGCGTGGTATTGGGAAGTCAGGGATTTCGTTACAGATATCAATCATTAGAGTGAACTTTGGTATCTTGAAAATGCTACCCTGGTTGCCCTCGGTGGTGTGGCAAATTTCCACCTTTGTATTAAATTTAGAATGCAAGGTCACTGCGTTCTCATAACTTTAACGAAGCACGAGTTGTTAGTAAGCTGACAAGTTACAACAGAGTTCTTTTCTATCATCTTGGTTCATTAAAAGTACTCGTAAGATTCAGCTCAAACGCCGATTAAGACTATGTTAAATGTAACGTAAAAATATCGCCCTTAAAACTGCCAGATTGTTTTTCTATTGGCTTGAAACGTTAGAGAAGAAATTATGGTCTGAAAATGGGGTCTACTTTGAAGGAACAATATTCCAATTTTTGTTTTTTTGAGAGCAGAAGATACTTCAGAAGAGAAGGGAAAACCTCTCATGTCATTCATTTAGGACGATCTTTAGTCTTTACCAATTTTTTGATCAATTTAACTTTCCCCTTTACTGGACGATGTTCTTATTACGCGTCTTATGACACCACCCTACCCTTCAGTTCTCGGTTTAAATCGCCAATCGAAATACGCGTTTTTCAAATTTCTGTTATTCTCCAAATTGGCGTGAATTGACACGGTCTTTCGTCTGAAGCTGAAGTACTTGGAGCGAGCTTGAAAATGCTGGTAGCAGCGTTTTGTCAACTCAATTATACATGAGTCGCTAATTGAATAACATACTAACATGGTTTAAATTCCCCGCAAACAAGTTGCGTTAAAATTTTAAGTTGCCCGCTCCTAATTCCGCTCTACGGGTTGAAACATCTTTTTCACCCATCTCCTGCGGTTTTTTTCTTTTTTTTTTTTTTTGACGAACGCGGCAGATATGTCCACGAAGCCCTACTCTTTTTAATAAAACTTGTTTCGAGTGTTAATTTTTCCAGACGTGGTGAGAGTAATTAGTCTACGGCGCACACCTTTTAATAACGAGAAATACGAAAAGAAACCCCCGATCGCCGGGGGACAATTTTATATTTCACCACAAATTCAAAGTGTTACTTAACATGTTTAATCTATGAAGTCGTATGATTTCTTTTTTAAACCTTGATGAAAACATGTTTCCCCTTGTATTGCTTGTCTCTTGGAACAAAAGCTGTTGCTTTAGAGTTTTTAAATCGCTCTCCTGCTTCCTTTTTAACTTTGTCTTTCTCACTTTTTTGTGCAGTTCAAAATTCAACGCCTTCTCTAGTTAAAACAGAGAAGAAAGAAACAGAATGCTCACCCCAAAGGACACCCTCCTCGCCGACAGACGAAGTATCGAGGGAAAGGCCTAGAGTTGAAACGCCAGGAGCTTTCAATCCCGTCAACACAAGGTAAACAATAAAACTACAGGGCAGTCGTTATTCTCCGATTTATTTCGTATAGGATACAGTTCAAACATTAGCGAAGCTGTCTGCATTAATAAGGAGAGATAAATACAGTGACAACGATGCCTTGAAAGACGACTGTGTTTCATTTGCCATCGTTCATTGCCATTAACGAGACTTTAGTCGACTGGTTGTGAAGAAATTGTATTCTCGCTAACGAGTACTTGTTAAGTAAAAGATATTCTGTCATTTAAAAACTTGTGTCGAAAATGTCATGTTTGAATACGAAAATGGTTTGAGAACAAGCTGTTCCAAGTATTATAGCTATAAACGGCAGAAAACACGACAAAAGTGTTTTGTTTTGGTCGTTTGACCAAATTTTCCCATTGGCGTCACTGTACTTTGCACAGATGATACCCAGAAAGTGATGTTTTTATTTTCTGTTTCTTGTCAACAGCATAAATGTCGAGACAACAAACTATCGAGAAATTGACGCGGCCCTAGCCTTGACGACTCTTTCAGCTCGGTAGAGGGAGAAAGAAATCTTTCCTATATAGAAGTACTTAAAAAAATCCTCAGCATGTGTACATAAAAAAGAGTGGACGATGTTTTTTCTAACTGACTAAGTGAGGATTGCGCGCTTTCAAGAAACAATTCTGTGTTTAACACAAGATCTTGTGTCGTTTTTCGTTTGGTGTGGTTGATGCGTGTGACTATGAACGCAACGCGATTTGGGCTGGTATCAAATACCTCCCTTTCAATACTTCTTGTGATTTTATATGATGTTTCGAGTCGTTGATATGTTTGCGACAACATTGGTTTGCTAAAAGCACTAGCCAATGCAAAAATAGGACTCGAAATTTCGATTTGTTTGACTTGAGCTTAACACAAAGTGTTACAAGAGCCACTTTCTATTTGCAGATTTTTTAAAACAACGGGTTGTAAATTAGTTGTGTTCCGAAAAAAAAAAAACAGATTCTATAGGAAGCTAAACTCACAGTCCCTGCCATACGAAGTGTAATATAGATGATTTAATTTGAAATTCTGTAGATAAAAGAGAATATTTGTAGGTGAAAAGAAAATGTAATTTTGAAATAAAACCCGCCTTAATAAAACAAGACTGTCTGAGTGTACTTTGTATGTGATTATGATGTGTCGCATATGGGATTATACGTCGACAATTTCATTAAAACTATAACGGAAAGTGGATTAGAATGAAAATGTCGACGTTAGCAAACTTAATATGTCGCTGTTCCCACGAGGAAAAATGGTATTTGTAGAATGTAGTTATCAGCGATCTGGAAAATTCTATTGTGGCCGAGATATTAAACTCTTAAGGAGCGCTCGTTCATCAGACAGCTATGTCGAGCTTAAACAATATTCCACTTTCCGCTGCCCTCTTGTATATATTAAAAGTTGTCTTGATGTCTGTAGAGAGGAGTGATTCTCTATGCAAGATCTCGAGCGAAGATATTGTTAAATTTCCTGGCGAACCTGGCGAGCAAAAGTTAACTCCAAAACATTCGTGACTCAATGGCTGAAACTTATTGCAAAAAAAAGATCTCCTTATCAGCTAGACAGCTGTTTACAAATTATCTTTTAATAAATACAAAAAGATTTCGTGTCAAGATACATCATTTACAGATATGTTGAAAATAATTTATCCAGCGTCACAAACCGCCCGTGGACATATCATAAAGGCCGCATTTCTGTTTTCTTTTGGTCGAATTCACCACACAGGCCACTGTGCACATATGCTCTGCTCTTCGTTGGAAACCTGTCGACAAAATAAACTTTACCGTTATATTCGGACCGGTCAAACTTTTTCCCAAAGATTGTCCGAAAGGGCGTCGCTCGTTTGCTCTTGGTTAACACATTGAAATGAAATTTACACCTCCAAAGAAAACTTAAACAAGTTTAAAACTGATGCCCTACCGAGCAAAAACAATTTCAAAACTGATTCGCGGACGTCGAAAGGTTTTCTAAATTTTGATGTATAAAGACTCATTTGCATCAACTCTAGCCAGGCTTCGCGGTAGTCTTTTGCATAACAGTTTATGCCTGCGTTTTCAAATTAAACTGAAATATATTCATGACATTTTTTGCGCCAAAACAATAGAAGTTTTGACTAGTTATAAAACTGGGAACAGAGTGTGAAAAGTATGCCCCGCGGCTACCAAACAACATATGTTTCAAGTTGAAAACAGTCCTAACAGAGTTCGAAAGACATTGTAAAGAATGGTTCCATTCCCTCGGGGAACCTGCTCTTCGACTGTTTGGTCATTCCATAGAAGTAGTCGGTAGAATTCTCAGCGTAAGAATTAAACCCCATCAACTATAAAACCTTTTAATCGATCTTGAGAACATGACTAGGAAAAAGTTGGAGTTTTAAGCGAGTTTCTTCTTTCAGAAAACTACGGAGCACTGACAAGTTACCTTCTATTGTTGTGAGCGGAAGCAATAGACACAACGTTTGAATCTTCTCTAGAAGAGCTTAATTACTTCTTGTTTGATAAACTAGTAGGAATTTTCGCATTCACAGCTCAAACAAACTAATGGCGTCCGCATAGAATTCTTGTCCTAGCCGGGGGCACCTCCAGGCGTTTATGGTTTTATCTATCGCCTTTCACCCTTGGGCTCCATTTTTTCTACATTTCCTCGTGTTATTGCCGTCTAGAGCACTTCATGTTGACATACTTAAGTCCACAAAGAAGGAAGTATTTAATAAAATCCGTTACGAAGTAAGATTTCATCTTGCCTATCGTCTTCCTGTACAGAGCATAAGAGTCAAGTTCAAACGAACAACCGGCTTTGAAAATTCCCTCATAGAGCTGTATATTTAGACTTAAGAACTTTATGTTCTCACTTTGTTGGCGAAAGTCCGTGTAATTAACGAGATAAAAGCTTAAAACTGTTTAAGTCTTGTTTTATTGCATGTTCAGTGTAATAACCCGAACTTACCTGGCCGAATTAGTTTCAGTTTTGTTATGAGCTTCCGCTGCCGACAAAGCCTTGAACAATCTCATTATTGTCTTATTTTTTTGGCGGAATCAAAACATTGTTATCCGTAGGAAAACTGCCAGAGATAACACAATAATTGCATTTGAGAGCTTTTTTTTTACCCTATTATAGTTTCTCGATAAAACTAACTAAGGCTGCTAAAGAACTTGGATGGCCTCCGCTTTGCCGACCGGTATGTCTTTTGTTCAGTGATTACAAGCTTCGGAAATCGGATTCAGGTTTTTCTGGTATGGCTTTATCTTCAACCTTCGAACAGAACTGTAAAACAACCCTTGTTAATTAAATCCTAGTTTTTCCCGCACAGCAAGTGCACGTTAAATTTTCCTCAATTTAGGTTTCAATGTCCGCAGGCTGAGTTCCTATATAAAGTACTTCGTCTTTCATCTTTTAATATTTCGGCTCTAAGACAAATGAAATGAAGTGACTTTAATATCTCAAATTAGACGGAATTAAGTGAATTTTCCAGAGAAGTAATTGGTTTTCGGGAGAAGAAATGGCTTTTACTTTTCACCGATGCTTTCGACAACACATTTTAGTGCGATATTTTAAAACACAAGAAGACTCTACCGCAAAACGAAACCAAACAGTCAGGCACTTGAATGGGATACTTTAAAATAGCCGTCTTACTTTTAGTAATATTCCGTCCATAAATTTAATCCCCGTCATTGAGAAACTCAATACAGCGAATTTTAACATTTGGTGTTTATAAAACTGATAAGGAACACAAAGATTTTCTGCCACAACTGATCTCCTGAAAAATGCAATTTATTGAAATGAAAACATTTGTCGACTTTGTCGGCTTCAACGGAAACAACCTGAATAGTGTTGTCTTTGAAAACAATGCGAACAAGTTCTAAATTCAGGTTTCAATCAATGTTTTCACCAGTTATTCTACATCCGTTAGTGGTACACCACATCAGTGAAACAGATGAAGTCCGACGAGATTCTTACATCGATCAGTAAACTGAAGGAAGGAAACGTTTTGCAACCCGCCGGAATTTGGCAACGTCGAGGACAGAGAGGTGATCACAACCATGTCATTTCGTGCCCTAAAGAACATTTGCTACGCAGATTTGAGAAAGGACCGATGAAACTGTCATTTATCATTTGTTTTGATAACTTTAGTGCTTTACGGTACCAACATTCAAACTGAAACTTGGGGTCCGTGCACACTATGCCGGAGGAATTTGAAAACGCAACTTTACTGCTACAGTTAGGCCTACTGTCCACACTAATCAGTCACGAAAACGGAGCTTTACGAAAACGCTCTTCAAATCGGAGGAATTAGAAAACATCGGGTTTACGTTTCATGTGGACGGAAAACAAAAAAATTATCCGGCGTAGTGTGGATAAATTTAGAGAGGAGGGGTACGCCGAACAAAAAAACATAACTTTTCCATGCGAGTCTTGTTCACACGTGTATGCAACTAATAGAGGAATTAAAGGCCTGTTAATCGTGTGGCGTTCTCACACTCGATCGATAGATGTAATTCAGTAGTGAAATTTTTTCAAAGATACTTCTTTACTGCGTCTTAATTTTTTCACAGCGAGGCTGATTAAAAATATTCTGCAGATCAATCCATTTCTATTCGTACCCATTCGTGTCGGCTAACATTAGGCTGGCTTCCCTGAATATTTGGTAAAAATGGTGCAAATTTTATAGTGCCCGTTTATACCGAGGTGCAATTTACCCCCTGAAGAGCAAATCATTTTTTGCTTGAAGAAAATGGGGCTTTGTAGCTCGAGTACAAACCTTGAAAGAGAAAATAACTATTCGTTCCAATCGATTGAAATGACATACAGAAAAAAAGCTGAAGGTTTTGGTGTTAAAAAGTTAAGGTGGCAGTTCTTTCGACCATCCAACAAAGCTCTTAAAATTTTCAGACCAGATTCACACGGCGCTTAACTTACAAGCAGAACTCACTCAAGCGTCTTAAAATGTTGTTTGTTTCACAAGGGATTAAACACAATTGAAGAATCTAAATAGAGCAACCTAAAATTAGAATTAGAAATAGACAGAGCGATGCTATTTTAAGCAGTTTAGCGCCGTTTGGCTGGAGTGCGTAACGGTCTAATTACTTGTACCTCCAACCGATCAAAAGACATTTACAACAATACTTCATTTATAACTTGCCGGATTACAATAAGAGCGGCTCTTTAACGAGTATTCTACTGTCTAGACACACAGTATACCGCTGTCAAAATTATTAGACACTTTAGAAACGCCCCAAAAAGCTATTTCAAAGCCAGAGATTACAAGGATTTACACCGGTAAAGAATGAAAAACAACGCTCAGCATTTTGTTAACATGAGTCGCGTAGCTAAGATGACATGTACCAAACATGACAAACATCGACACAAGACACAACATGGAGATTTGAGCTATTTCGAGAGTCAGGTCATGTGCAAGGTTTAATTTTTCTAGGCTTCTTCTCATTCTTTGCGCGTATATGGAGTGAAAACAGACAGTTTGAAAACATGGGTTGTTGCGAAATAAGGAATTGTCCCACTATTTTGCTGTAAATACTATTGAGTATATAAATGAAATGTTTTTCAATAAACTGGAACAGCAAATGAAAAATACGTTGTGGAATTATTCCCAGAGGTTTAACCGAATATTTCGTTCAGTTATCATGCAAAAGCAATATGAAGTTCGTCTTAACTTATGACCTTGAGATTCCTCTAATGGTCCAAACACTCTGCAGTACATTACAAAGATTCCTCGAAGGCTGAATTCAGTTTTACCACAAATCTAACTCTTCAGCGACAAAAGCCAATACGACAGCCAAAATGAAGCTATATTTAACAACATCCTCAAAGATTTTTCTTACGTAACTCTTTACCGTTAACTGCAAAAGAAATCAAGAGCTGCCGAAGCGGGTAAGAGTTTTAATCTTCGTAAAATCGATTGGCAAAAGTTGATTTGTAAGCAGTAGAGTCAGTCATGTTTTGAGTTATAAAACCTGACCAACACCGGGTTTGTCCCAGAAAGACATCAATGAATCTTTTACTGCTACACTGATTTTTTTATGAGAATATTGTTTTTGCGGCCCAATTTACTTTCATGCCGCTAGATTATAGCGTATGACAACTCTGTTTTCGAATGTATTTG